CCATAGTGCTTTCAACTTCTCATATTACATAATTTTGACATTCAAGAAGAAGGGGCTCGTGAAGTGTTACATGCTGGAAAGGCATTTGAGATAGGTCTTGAGAGACGAGCAGGTTTATAGGAAAGGAATACCAAAGGAAGCCCAGAAGCCACACTCATTCGGGTACCCTAGTCAAATGAAGAGGAGTCATCTTGATTTCTTTCTCTCTCTCATCCATCAAGGATGGTCAGTCATCAAGTCAAGTGTCCACTTCACTTCCTGAATCTCTCATAAATCTAACCCCCTTTTTGCACCCCCAAGCCCTCTACCCAGCTAAGGCTTATTCGCTATGCCTGTACCATTGCCCCCAAATCCTTATCTCCCTGCTTTAGATACCGGTTCTTTCTAAAACCCATACTGCACTCTATCCTTCTCTTGTCAAAATTCTTCCTTGGCTCTCTACTATCCACAGAAGAAGGTGTTCACTCTTCAGCCTGACGTTCCAGGGGCTTATGATCTGATTTCTGCTAATCACTCCTGCCTCACCGTAAGTCCCATGTTTCACATTACAGTTCTAAATAACAAACATTCTCCTTAAGAAGAGTCAGGAGCGGGGAGTGATGTGAAGGAAACAAATATTTCTAAAGAGAAAGAGAAATATTTCTAAATAACGTTGCTATTGTTGTTGTTGTTGTTGCTTTCTTTTTTGTCTTTACTAATTTTAAACTATCTAAAAACAATGTCAAAAGGTAAGTTATTCTTGTCATTCTTTCTCCTTCCCAGACATTTTACAGTGGCTCTGGTTCTCCAGAGATAATCTTCTTTTCCTCCTTCCCTCCCCCCTTTCTTTTTCTGGAATCCAATTGTCTCCCTCCCCCCTCCATGACATCTGCTCCAGAATCCTTAGAGCACAGTCGGCAAGAATCGCCGATGTTCCAAGTTGAATAGAAATAACCTGGCTTTAGAACAATAGATTTGCAGGACCATGGAGAGCTGCACATGCATCTACCCCCATCTTAGACGTTTTCCAGGGTCTTAACACTAGCTGTGAATTCCATCTCCACTGCCATTTCAGCATCATGCACTTAGATGTCACCTCCTCTTGGAATCCTGGTGACTCCCAGCCTCCTCACCTCCCTCACCTCCTCACCACCAACTTGGCACCACTGTGCCAAGTTAATGCATCTTCCCTTTTCCCAGAATGCCCTGAGCTGTCCTTATCATTCCTCCATTCTATAAATATATCAATACCTACTTTGTACCAGCAACTCATCTAGCCTCTGCAGATACAAATGAAAGCATATTTGTAAAAGTCCCCGCCTTTTGGAGTTTACGTTATGGGAGAAGAGGACACAAAACAAATAATATGACTGACAATAGCAATAAATGCTATGAGACAAATATAAAATGGGCAAAATTATAGTATTGTGGGGGCAAGGCAACATAACGTACTGTTGTCAGAGAAAGAAACTCTGGAAAGGGAAAGTTTGACCCCTTTGAGAATCAGGGAAGAGAGACTTCCAAGCAAGGAGGAATAACGAGAGTAATAGTCCCCAGGTGGGATTGAGACTTACATTTTCAAGGAATAGAAGGAGGCCAATGTGGCTGAAGTTATAAGCAATGGAGAGAGTGTTAGTGGGTTATAAAATGAGGTCAGAGATCTGAGCGCTAGCCGAATCATGGAAGACCTGTAGGGCAGCACGAGGAGTTTGGACACATTCTAAATGCACCGGGAATCCATTGATGCATTGAAGAGACTTCAGCAGGTGTGTGACAAGCTTTGATTGACATGTAGTTGGGGGCTGTTTTGTGATTGACAGCATGTAGCCTCTCATTTAGGATTCAGCCATGTCTCCAGTGCCCAGCACAGGGCCTGGCATGTAGGCTGTCTCTGTAAATGTTTGAGGAGTTAATGAATGAACAGAAGAAGAGGACATGTTTGAAGATCAGGGGTTAATATGGGCCACGCTTGGGAAACATGCCTTTTATGACCTGGGAAAAGAAAATCAATGTCACTCCAGCCTCCTCCCCTCTTCTCTCACCAACCATATCCAGTCAGTCATCAGTTCTATTGATTCTTCTGTCAATATCCTTCTCTTTCAAAGCCACTCCGTCAACTTTATCCTCCCAGCCCCAGCCCCAGCTCAAACCTTATCTGCTATTGCCCAGACCACTGCATTTGGTGGTTGGTTTGCTCATTTCAAGTCTCTTTCCCTCTAGCCCATTCCAAACAGAGGTCCCTGAGAAACGTTTAACACCCATGTGTGACCCAGTCCCTCCTCTGCCCCAAGCTTTCCACCACTTTCTCCAGAATTGAATGCCAACTCCACAATTTGCCAGACCTCAGGCAACTCCTGTCTGTCCTTCTAAGTCTTGGTTTCCTCATTGGGAACATGAGGTGGTTGGACTAGACCATTCCATTCCAAGATCTAAGATATGAGTACTATTTCCATCCTTTCAAATCTCCTTCGTTTGTATGATTTTTAATTGTGATGGAGCAACTTAACCTCTGAAAGCTTCTGTTTCCTCAACTGGAAAATGAGAATAATAATGGTATCTGCCTTAGAAGGTGAAGAAAAAGAAATAACAATTTGCATGAAGCACTTAGAACTTCCCCAAACCACAGCCCTCAATATAGTGTTTACTATTATGGTGGTTGTTGTTACTACTACTGTTCATTTATGTGTGTATTTATTTATTTAAAACTATCACGTGTTGAGCACTCATTATTATAGGCATGGCACTGGGTCGGGCCCTTCAAATCCATTATCTAGACCGGGGGTCAGCAAACTGTGATTTGTCCCGCCACCTGGTTTTTGTATGGTTTGTGCGCTGTAGCTCACATGGTGAGTAAGTGGTAGGATTTGAACGCAAGTCTTTCCAGGTTCACAGCATGTACCTTCAGCCACTACACTCCACAACCTGGAAACTGCATGACTGGATACATTGGGGTGGGGTGCACAGGTCATAGTCTATGAAATGAATTGGAGGAAAGGGTTCAGGAAGTAGGGGTCAATCTCTCCAAATTACTCTATTGTTACATCAGAGGCCTGACTTCTAGCCCTGATCCTCAGCTTGACCCTGGTGCATTGGTATGAACATGGGTTTTGTGATAAGAATACTTTTAATTCTAATCCCAGCTTGGCCACTGACTAGCTATGTCGCCTCCTCTGATTCCACTTCTGTGAACAGCAAACAATGGAATTTTCCTTCATACGTTTGGGTGGGTCGAATAAAAGTCTCCATGCTACCTATCCTTGCCCCACTTTCTCTCTCTCTAGGCCACTATTTTTCCATCTGAAAAATGATGAGAACTTTCTGCTCTGACACTCTGGGACGGTGGTGTTCTACAGGTCTTATTTTAGCTCAGTGCCTGGCTCCACATGCCATGATTCAAGTCCGCACAGAGGTTGCCCCCTGGTTTCCCCAGAAAAGGTCTCAGCAGGTTAGGTTGGAGGCAAGGAGGAGGTGTAGGCTAGAGAAAGCTGAGTGAGGAGCTGGGAGGAGATTGGGGGAGGGGGTATTTCAAAATCCGTCTTCAACTATTTGCAGAGCCAACTGTAAAGAGGGAGCCAAGCGCGGGTCCCAGGGGACAGAATGGAAATGAGACATACAGCGGGGTTTGTTCATAAAATATCAACTGAGTGAATAGGACCTGAACGGAGTTTAATTAAATTATGTTGAATTAATTTGAACTGAAGTGAAGAATTGAGTCACAATGGATTGAGGTTAGTTGGACCTGATGGATGGAATTAAAAGTATTACAGCTGAGCTGATCTGGGCTGACCTGAGCTGACTTGGGCTGAATCGGACTGTAGCGAGCTGAAATTCGGAGGAGGGTAACATTTCAGAAAGAACTCTACTCTGAAACTCAGGACACTCGAGTCCCTGGGCCCCAGCTTATGCTGGCACCTTGGGCAATTCCCTGCACAATTCCAGACCTCGGTACCCGCATTTCATCAAGTGAGTGCTAATAATAACTCCCAGGCAGAGATGTTATGAGAAGGGTGTCAGATCACGCATGCAAAAGAGCCTCGTATTTCAAAGGAAAAAAGAACTGTAAACCAATATAGAACTCTACCTAATGACACGAATGGTGAAGTATTTAGGGTGAAGTGTACCGGTGCCTGCAACTTACTCTCAAATGCACTTAAAAAAAAAAAAAAAGATAGATTGATGGATGGTTAGAAATATAGATAGATGGACAGATAGAGGATAAAGCAAGTCTAGTAATACGTTAAATGGTTGACTCTAAGTGGTGGGTACATGAGTGGTCACTCTAAAATTCTTTCAACTTTTCTTTGAAAATTTTTCAAATAAAATGTTGCATAGAAAATAAAGAGCCTTGGGGGCCGGCCCCGTGGCTTAGTGGTTAAGTGCGCGCGCTCCGCTGCTGGGCGGCCCCAGTTCGGATCCCGGGCGCTCACCGATGCACCGCTTCTCTGGCCATACTGAGGCCGCGACCCACATACAGCAACTAGAAGGATGTGCAACTATGACATACAACTGTCTACTGGGGCTTTGGGGGAAAAATAAATAAATAAAATTAAAAAAAAAAAAGAAAAGAAAGAGCCTTGGGATCTGTTGATTGCTAAAATATCAGGAGTGGTTAAAAATACAGCCTCTGGAGGTGAAATGCCTGACTTTGAGTCCCAGCTCTGCCTCTCACTGGTTGTATGGCCTCGAGCAAATGACTTCATCTCTCTGAGTGCTTGTTACCCTATCTGTAAAATGGGGCTATTAATAGCATTTGCCTCACAGGGTTGTTGTGAGTATCAGAACAGAGTCCGGAACCTAATTAGCACCCAGTAAGCGTTCGCTATGATTTGGTCGTCCAAACAACGCTGTGGAATGGGCGCCGCTATCTCCATTTCACAGAGAAGCAGAGTGGGGCTCAGAGAGGTTCTGCAACTCCTCCAGGATTACACAGCAAGGAAGGGGCTTTCTTAGCGGAAGAGCGACCACAGGTTCCTGGAACCTAAAATAGTCCCCCAGCCCCTAAGTCCTTTCCTTGGGCTCACCCGATAGGATGAAGAAGATGCCAGAAACGAAGGCCAGAATGGTCCTCTGTGGGCGGATGTGGCCGATGTTGCTGATGACGAAGGCCGTGAACACGAGGAAGAGACTGACCATGGGGAAGGGAGTGGCTGTGCGCACTGTCTCTGGGGGAGGAGCAACGGGAGAGGCAATGGGTGAGCGGGGACTCTCCAGGGGGACACCTGCCCATTCCCCTGACTTCTCCGCTTCCACCAACCCCGCCCCTTTATGTGGCTCCTCCGCTTTCCAGATTCCTCCCCTTTCTGAAAGTTCACTGCTGACTCCACCCTTTCACCCAGGCCACACCCCCTTTGGCTGGACTCCACCCCCTTCCCTGCTGACTCCACCCCACTCCAGGCCCCGTCCCTTCAACCTGGCGCCTCCTCCCTACCCAACCACTCTGCCTTCTTTCGAGCCTCCACTCCTGCCGCTCCACCCCGCCGCTTCTCTGGTCCTGCCCTTTCTCCTAGGGCCGCCCTGTGATCCCACCCCTTCGTTGACTAACCCCCCACCCCCAACCCCGTTTCTCCTCACTCAGAATGTTCTCTGTGTTTTCCGTCACCAGGTTGATCTCCGGTTCAAGGAAATATTCCGAAGCCACGCAGCGACCCTTCTCTCGGCCTGGAGGGAAGATAAGGAGGTAGGGCGAGAAGAGAGGCTCCTAAACTCTGGAGAGGCAGGTAGGGGCAGGACGCACATTGGGGAGACCCCAGGAAGGGTATGTGAGGCTTCATCCATCTGTACTACTCTTGGGGGTGGCAGAAGGGGGCAAACAGGCGGTCTGAGATCTCCTCTGCAAGCTGCCCTAGAGACCCATGGACAGGGCTGGAACCCTGGGCCCCAAGAGAGGAAGGGCTGTGGGCCAGGACTCCTGAATCTCTAAAGAGGATAACATCTGGGGGGCGGACAGGATTCCTAGAAGAAGAGGTCTCCGTGAAGGCTAGGAGGCATGGATTTTTTTATCCTGCCCATGCAACACGGGAACTGTCCAGGGGACAAGTTCTGAACCTAGACTACTACTTCTAAAGGTGGGACTTGGGGGTTCTCTGGAGATTAGGCATCTGGAGCTTGTGTGAGCATTGGAGCTCTTAGATTCAGGCAATAAAGGGCTAGAAATGGGATCTCCAGGTAGAACTTTGACTCTCCAGGAGAGAAACAGGATCGGTTACTGGATTTCTGGAACCCAAAGGATAGGACTATGGGTAAGGACTCTAGAGGTCCCAGTGGAGAGGAAGGCAGGTGAGGTCTGTACCTGCGAAGAAGCAGACTCGCCAGAGGCCAGCGTGCAGCGCCATCTTGACCTCCGTGGTCTGGTTCTGCGGCAGCACGGTTCCCTCCTCCATGTACAGCCAGTAGTCAGTGCTGACCGCGATGCCCACGAGCAGCAGGCCGCACGCACCAAACACGCTGCTCAGCAGGGTCAGGGCGCGGCTGCTGCAGTGACTCATCCTCAGCGGCGGGGGGCGCCCTGCGGGGCCTGAGGGACCAGAAGTGCTGTGGAGAGCCCCGCTGGGACTGACTAGAGTCCCCAACCCCATGTAGCCACCTGGGACACTGGATCCAGGCCAGACACCAATCCCCCAGAGGAGAACTCTCAAATCTTACCTCTGTGTCCTGACCCATGATCCCATCCCTGGATTTGAACCAGTGACACCAACAGTTGACCCTCAGCCCCAGGACTGGGCTTCCCAAACCTGACACTTGTGCTCTGGCCCTGGATCCTGGTCAGAGATGCCAACACCAGACTCTCAACCCCAGGATAGGATTTCCATCCACAGCCTTTGGCCCAGATCCAGAGGTTGAAACTTGACTCCAGCTATGTGTCTGGATATGGGTCCCAAATATCATGATTCTGATTAGAAACTCAATTTCCAGACTCTCAACCCCAGAACCAGGCCTTCCAACCCTAACCTCATCCCATGACCCCAGCCCCTAATCCTACACACCAGACTCCACCAGAATCCCTAACTTTGAACCTCAAAAACTATTACGCTGATCAGGCACTTCAACACTAGGACCAGGCACCCCTTACCCCCCCAACCTTGACTCTGTGCCCTGATCCAAGTCCTCAACCTTGAATACCAGACTCCAGCAAGGGCCCATGACCTCAAGGCTGAGCCAGGACCTAGGTCCCTAGAGTCTGAGTATTGGACCTTGAACACTGGATGTTGAGCAATGTGACCTGTCTAGAAACCCTAACCCAGGCCACCCAATCCTGACTCCATGCCCTGACCTGGCACCCTGACCCCTTTCCTTTGGACTCTGTTTCTCTGAACAGCAACCAGAAATCCTCCAAGTGGGTCACTAACCAAGGTCTGTAACCCCATACCCTGGCCTCAGGCCCTTGACTTCAGGCCTAGCTAAGACCTTGAGCAGAGGACCCCACCTAAGTTTAAATGCTTGGGGTCTTATCTTGACCCTGAACACCCAATTGTAACACCAAGACCTTGACCCATGACCTTCTGACTCTGATCCTGTGCCTTGACCTCAATGTGGTACCCTAATCTGAGATGTTGGCCCACGACCCAGATTCTAGATTCTAGAACCCTAATTTCTCCCATCTCAGATACAGGCAGGTCCCTGAACCTAGGATGCTAGAACTCCATCCCAGGCCACTGGATCCCAGAACATTGGGACCCAGAGATCCAGAGCCAAGATTTTAGCTAGAGACACCAGAATGTCAAAAACCATGATCTTGGAACCACCCAACTCAGCACCCTAACCAGAGCACTCCAGTCAAACAAGGGATCAGTGCTCTGGACTCTAAAACCCCAGTCAAGAAGTCTAGGATCCGCATTCCCCCAGCCCCCATCACAAGATTCCCAAATTCCCTACCAGAGATTCTGGACTCCAACTCCCATGCTAGGACTTCCAATTACAGACCCTCTTCAACATCCAACCTGGAACCCTGATACCCCTAATGTTGGACCCTCAAAACAAGAGATCCCCAGTTCAAGCTGTGGCCTCCCAAATTCCCATCAAGAATCTGGAGATTCCAATTAGGGAGCTCCTAATCCCTTATCCACCACCTTCATCCCCCACCAAGAACTTTTCCCTAAACCACACCATGCCATGATTTGGGGGACTCACCTGGGATCCCCATCCTATCTCAACCAGAGACCTCTACATCCCTGAATACCAGTGACCCCCATCATCTTTTTAACTATGAAGGTTAAGACCCCTAAACACTCCCCTCATCAATGCAGCCAAGACTTGAGACCCCACTTTCCTTAACCAGGATTCTTGTAGCCTTGTAACTCTGCCCCACCCCACTAAGGACCCTGGAGTCTGAGAGAAACTTCACCTTCCCCCATCCCAGCATCCAGTGCCCCCACCCCACCCTGCCCCGCCCCCAGCCTCCTGAGGGCTCAGGGGTCTAGTGTGGTAGAGCTCCCCATCCCCCCGTCCCATGGCTCCAAGGCTTGACCACCAGCTGCCTGCTCCCCTTCCAGTCCGCTCATCTCGGAAACAGGCATGAAGAATTCTGTCACCTTGACTGTCTTACTCCCAGGTAGCTAGCCTCAGATCCCAGCACTGGCTCCTCAGACCCCCAGCCAGGACCTTGCCCATTGTCACCCTTCTCACTTTCCTTTTGGAACCCCCCTCCTTCCTTGCTCCGATTCCTCCTCACTCTAAATGGCCCGCCCAGATCGCCTCACTCTCCTCCAGCCTCCAGCCCTTCCTCCTGTGGGACCCTCCCTCCAGGCCTGGAGCCTCCTGCTTATCCTCCTTTATCTCAGCCTTTCCTGGATTCAGCATTCGGATGCCCAGGATCCCATCCTCCAAGCCCCAAGTCCAAACTCCATCTCGCTTCAATCTCCGGGGAGACGTACTCCCCTTTCGGGAGACCTGTTTTCAGATTCACATCCTGCTCTTACCCGGCCTGGCCCTCCCCACTCGTCCAGGACCGCCTCCCTCAAGGACCTGGCCTGCACCCTCCCCAGTGCCCACAGTCTCTAAGACTCGGACATTGAGAGGATAGCTGCCCCACGCCGGGACCCTCGGACCCGGTTCTCCCGGATTCCCTAGGCCCAAATGTCCCTCCATCCCCCACTGCCTCGCGAACTCGGCCGCCCTGACCTCCCGAATCCCACCGCCCTGAGCCACTCAAGCTCCTTTTAGCCCCAACCCCGAGTCCAAGCCACCTCAACGGGAGCCCCCCCTTCCTTCCAGGACCCTCCCCTCGCGCTCACCTCGCTCAGGGCTGGGCGGACGCTCCGGGCCGCGGGCCCCGCAGCCGCATGACCGGCCCCGCGGCTTCCCCCGGCCACCGCCGCCGCCACCGGGG